ATGCAGGTCCTGATAGACAGGCAGGTGCAGCTCCCCCACCACAGTAGGTTGTCCAGTTCAGCGGTGATTGGCGAGATCCCATCTCCGGACTTGCCGCGATCTTGGTATGCATTTTTTGTTATAGACATTATGGGTATGTCGGGGCCATGTTCCGTCTAAGTTGCAGCACTTATATTCCTTTAGAGGCTCATAGATAGGTGCCGACTCATGTATAGTTTGGTATGCCTTGTCGGCTGGTTTTTGTTGTATAGTCTTTCATGGTAGCGTGGTAGCTCGTACCATATATATATAGTTTCTTGATTGTCTGGTCATCCCATGTTATGTATGTTCATGCCATCATATTTTATGGTTGGTTGTCCTTGATCCATGTCTACCATTTATATTGATCTCGTCAGCCCTAAAAGATAATAAAGAAGGTTAGATGAAATGTATGTTGGTGCTCGGCAAGTATGGTCGGGTGCTAGTCATGGCCCTCCAGTTTGGGTCGTGACAGAAAGAGTCCTTCGGGCATGCTTTGTTCAAATTCTTATAGTCTATACACATTCTTAGTTTGTTCCCCTTTTCTTAGGGACTACCACTACGTTTACTAACCAATCCGGGTATTTAACCTCCCGAATAGACCCTATTTTAGGGAGTTTAGATACCTTATCCTTGATGAAAGCATGTTTGACCTCAGACTGGGGCCTCCTTTTCTGTTTGACCGGATGAAATTTCATGTCCAGGCTTAGCTTATGGGTAGTTATCTCCGGTAGGATCCCTGTCATGCCAAGATGAGAACAAGCAAAACAATCCATGTTAGCTATAAGAAATTGAATGAGTTTTTTCATGAGCTCAGAAGTTAACCCCGTGCCCAGGTATACCTTCTGATTGGGTAGATGTTCGATCAATATGACATGTTCCAGTTATTCGACCATTGATTTAGTAGGGTCGGAATCATCGGGGACTATAAAAGATGTGGGAACCCCATAATCATCGTCTTCGCCAGTCCCCTGCTTGTCTGGTTGGGTCATGGCCGGTATCGGTGATTGTTATTTGTCCTCCTGCTTTGCTCCCGAACTTGGTTCCTTTGACGTTGTAAGTGTTGATATCGAAATCACTTCATCGACTGCAAACATCTCTTTTGTGGCTAGTTGTTCACTGTAGATCGTCTTAATCCCTCCTAGCGTTGGAAATTTTAACACTTGGTGAAGGTTCGAGGGCACTGCCCTCATGTTGTGGATCCATGGCCTCCCGAACAGGTGTTGTACCTCATCTCACCTTCGATCACATAAAACTTGGCCTCCTGGATAGTCCCGGCGGCGTTGACTGGTAATATTATCTCCCCTTTAGTGATTTCACATGCCATGTTGAACTCGTTCAGAACTCGGACTGCAGGTACAATTTGATCCTGAAGACCAAGTTGTTCCACGACTCTCGACCGGATGATGTTGGCCAAGCTACCTGGATCACTTAGCATCCACCTAACTCAAGATTTATTTATGAGTACTGATATTACTAGCGCGTTGTTGTGAGGCTGTACGATCCCTTCCGCGTCCTCGTCGTTGAAAGATAAGGTTCCTTCTGGTATGTAATCTCGAGTCCATTTTTCTCTTGCATTGGATACTTTGGTGCGCTTCAACATCGGCCCTTGAGGGACATCGACTCCACCAATGATCATATTGATGACGTGTTAATTAAAAAGGAATAATTAGAAGAATCGGTTGTAACAAAAAATAATTTTACATCTCACAAAGCTAAAAAAAATAAACTTCAAATAAATTAAAACTTTCTTCTTAAGTTTAAGGCCTCCATTAAACTTTGACTTTAGCCCCTAGTGTGTTGAGACGCCCGTGACGCCACTAGTTGGTATGCGCTTGACATAGCGTAAGGAGATCACGCATGAAATGTTTTGATATTTCTCATAGTAAGAGGAGAAAACAGTGATAAACAAATACTTCATTTTTTTATGGGAAGGTTTTGAATGGACACATTATTTAATATTGTAATTTGACTTATTTATTATTTTAGTGGTAAGCATTACATCAAAATTTAGATTTTTAATTGTTAAATAAATTTGACTTCAAATTGTAAAAGTTGTTAGAATGATAGTATTATTAGAGAAGTGGTACAAATATTTTACAAAGTCCGCAAATTGAGGGGGAAAAACAATGTTAAATAGATTGAAATAGAGGAAATAATTATGTAGTTATAATATGTGAAGGAAACTCATTGATTACAATTGGAAATTGCAACTTAAGCATGAATTAAACAAATGAGAAGGAAAACGTTTTACACATGTTTCTGCTGGCAACCAATTGCATTGCCAACTAATGAGTTTGGATTCGCCTTCTAATTCTACTCGAACCGCTCCTTCAGTTTCAATTCAGATGAGTAGTTTGACTTGGTACGGAGTTCAAAAAAAATACTTTTGAAATTTGTGATCTTAAAAAGCTTAAGGGGTAAAAGCTATGTGGGACCATGACATTTGTGTGGTTATAAAAGCTTCTCATTAAGGGTAAAATAGATCAAATGAAAAGTTTAAAGTTGAATTATTTTCAATTGTAAAAATATGTCATTCTTTTTTGAAACGAACTAATAAGGAAAGTGTGTCATCTAAATTAAAACAGATAAAGTAAGAAACAGCGATTGGATGTGTCAAAAAAGCACATTGTCAAGTGAGTGCCTTATTTTGTTAATTGTTCAAAGCATCTATATCTATATATAAAAATGGGTAATAAAAGTGAGGTGGCATTTTTCTTAGGCTAAAAAATATATTTATCTTTTTTCTTCTATTTTTGAGTTTTTATCCCTATTCTATCTTCGTATCTTTCACCTTATTATCTTGATAACCTTTATTTTTAATAATCTCAATAATTCTCTTGTCTTCTATATCCATAACCCCCCAAATATTTAATATGTAAATTTATTATAATTTGTATTTATCTTTTGTCCTTTATTTGTTTTAAAAATTTTATTTTGGTAACTTACACCTCTTTAAATTCCACTCTTAATAATAAGCATAACTCCTATGCTTTTCATAACCTCCAAATATTTAATTTATAAATTTAAGATACCTTATGGTATTCCTCTACTTTTGCCTATATAAATTCATAACTTTTGTTTCATGAGACTCCTACCCAAGGTTAACCCTTTTCATTCCATATCTAAAATATATAGTAATGGTGTCATATTTATCGCAATATTAGATTCATGTTTTAGTTTTGCTGGAGGAAGAAGGCTCTTGAATGTTGATCGATTTGCAAGAGGAGCTCGGAAAACTATTGCACTGCTTCTATATTTCTTTTTTTTCCTTTTATTTTCTTATGATTAAGGTTCCAAACAAGATGTGTGTTTTATTTCTTCTTTTTCTTTTACTTTCTCTCTAACTTTGGGAAATGTTGTATCAAAGTACTTTGCTTTAAGATTGGTGTAAAATTCATGAATGAATAGCATGTTCTTTCTGATGTTAATGTATTTTGGATGTATACTAAAGGTGAAAACACATATAAATACGTATATCGTTGAATAATTCTAAAACAGTTTTAAGGAATATGCCAACTTGGAACATTCAACAAATAACATTGCTAAAAATAAAATTGGTAGTTGATTTCCATTAAAGGAAGTGATAGAAGCAAGAACCGTAAAAAAGAAATCATGCAGGAATTCATGGCAATACATAAGATCAAGTCTTTTGTTTTCCTATTTTCTTTTTAAAAAAATTAAGCAAAACCATCTTCAAGCGACTATGAAGGACAAGAATTGAGTTTACAAGTTTCTTAAAAGAGATGATCACATCTAAAAAAATTATTTTTTTGTATTTTTCATCATGTACAAATTTCTTTGTTTGTATTTTAATTTATTTTTATCTGTATTATAATTCTACATTCTTTTTTATGTAAGGAGAAACATTCGAACAAAATTTTAAAAAAATAAACAAACTTAGATATGTATATAGTAAATAAAAACATTTATTATTCTATTAAAAAATACAAATTTCTTAAACTTCTTCAACTTTTTAGAAAATCAGAGAGATAATTATATAAGAAATACATATCAACTTTACGTATATAAATTAATCCCTTTATAAATGTGGGGACAATTGTATCCTTCCATGACAAACTTGTAACATGTATAGTGTTGAAGGTATGAAAATTGCAACTATAGTGTCATTGAAAATGCTTAATATTTCTGATTTTATTCAATTTTTACTAATTATATATATATATATGAGACAGCGCGAAGCGCGGAAAAAATACACTAGTTCTTCTACTCCCTCCGGTCCAAAATAAGTGATTTTTTTTGTTTTCACATATATTAAGAAATTCATCTTTTAATATTAATTAGTAATGAAATTGACCATATTAACATTTACTATCTCTTCACATAAACACTCATAATACATACTCCAACATTAATTACTCCAAGGGCAACGTAGGAAAAAAATAATTAATTCATTCTTGAGATCTGAAAAAATCACTTATTTTGAACCAACAGAAAAAAAAAATCAAAAAATCACTTACTTTGGTTTAGAGGAAGTATTAAATTGGACATGGATAAGTTTATTTTTAAGTAATGACCACGCGTATCTTCATTGAATAACAACTTTGACTAGTATACGTAGAGGGGATAAAGGCATTTTTCTTCCTTCAATTCCAATGGATTGCTAATACCAACTTATTAGACACAGCATCTAATATTTCTTGAATCTTGGCATTTTAATTATTGAATTGTCCTGAAAGGTTACGTGCGGCCAACTTTGAAATGTAATTAGCACGAGTGAAGAATATTTGTATACCAAACACGTGCAAAATGTAAGCATCCAAAACCAGCAAAAAGGTCAAAAGTAGACACAATTTCGCAGCCCAACGCGCTAACGTTTTTACTTTCTCCAAAGTAATCTTCACTTTCCTCTTACTTTCTCTCTCCTTTCCATTTCTTTTTTCCTTGCTCCCCAAATTTTACATTTTTCTAATCACTTTCCAAAGAATTATCTTCTCTCTCTCTCTTTTTTAATGCCACCAATATCGTCATCTCACTCCTCAACTACCCAATATATACCCCTCATTTAATTCAAAACCTTCCTAGCATTATTCAAACTCTCTCCTCCTCCTTCTATACGACTAAAGATTACTTATTTCAATTCTCTCCCCCTACTACTGTAGATCCCTGGAAAATCAAAGTGAAATTCAGTTTTTTTATTTTGGGTCTTCCGAGAAAAATGCTGCCCGATATATCAACTTTTCTAGAGGGCACAGAGAAACTAACCGAAGAGCTGAAAGTAAAAGAAGAATCATCTGAGGATGATTTGATTCAAGAAGATGAACCTAAATATGAAGAATTAGATGATGATGATGAAGAAGAAGAGGATATTGATGATCATCATGAGATTGAACTTGTTGATGCTAATGATGAAGATTTTTCTTTTATATGTGGAGTACTCACATCACCGATAGCAGCAGAAGAAGCATTTGATAATGGTCAAATCAGGCCATTTTTTCCATTGTTCAACAAAGATCTTCTCTTGTCTGATATTGACTTTAACAATTTAAAAAATCGGCTACCTTTACAGCCACCTGTCAACAAAGTTTTCGTCGAAACAGAAGATAATAATCCTCCGACAACTTCCTCATCACCCGACGAGAATGTAGAAATCTCAGGACCGTACTGTCAATGGTCAAAAAAAAAGGTCGAAGCAAATACAAATCCAGCTGAGGGTTGTAAAAAGAGCAATTCCACTGGGTTTTCAAAACTTTGGAGATTCCGAGATTTCATTCGTCGGAGTAACAGTGACGGAAGAGATGCGTTCGTGTTCTTGAATAATCCTACAACAACGTCGAAGGAAGAGGAAGAAAAGGTTTTGGAGAAGCTGAAAGAGACAAGTGTTAGTGATGAGGTTAAAGTCAAGAAAGTAATTACGCAGAAGAAGAAGAAAGTTGTAAAGAAGAGTGAAGCAGTGTTAGCACATGAAGCTTATATGAGGAGTAAAGCAAGAGATGAAGAACGGCGACGATCGTATCTTCCTTACCGGCCAGAGCTCGTCGGGTTTTTCACTAATGTGAATGGTGGATTGACCAGGAATGTACACCCATTCTAAAGGTGGTGAATGAGTCAAAGTTAGTTTATTTTTTATTCGTTTTGACTGGTGGAAATATTTTTATTTTTTTATTTTAATGATGTTGAGTTTGACTTACTTAGATCGTGACACAAAGCTTGCGTCTAAGTAATGGCTACGAGTTGAAAGTTGGTTTTTGTAAATACTCATTCGACTTTCTAGTTTTAATTCTATGAAAAGACCAGACTTCTTACGACTGTTTGGAAGTTGGAATTTCCCCTTCAACCTTGTATTTTGTAACTATAGGTTGAGACGACTATGACTTGCTAGTTATACATTTTCTTTTGATTTTTTCTTATTTTCGGGGATTTCACTTGTATACAGTTTCTATACTATTTGTATTTGAAGTTGTTTTACCATGCTACTTATCTTCTTCTTTTTTATGGTTACTGGTTTCATTTATTGTGGACTGTAATATAGCATGTGATTATCTCTTAGATTGTCAGATATTGTTAAAGAATTTTTACATTGTAATAAACTATTAAACCTTCTTTTTCTTTTAAACTAATTTTATGCTTCTACTTATACATTTTAACGAACATTTTTGCCTTCATGTGAAAAAAATAAGAAGTTTAATTACATAACTTATATGTACATGCACAACATAGCTACATGGTATTTAAATTTGGAACCAATAATGCCATGTAGTGGAGTAGTAATTACTTATTCATCCTAAACATCTCGATTTGAATATTCTATAAAGTCGTCTTTATTAGGGAGTGCTCAAGGACGTCCCGAGGGTAAGACAGCAAACGCAAGGGCTTTAGATCCTCAAATATTGGGGGGGGGGGGGGGGGGGAGACTTAATTAATTTTTAAATCTCTATATTTCTTATAGAATAATGTGCCGATAAATTACATACTTGCATTTGCAGTTAAATTAACATTGATAAAACCTTACATATGATCAATAATGTCTCGCAAAAATAAAAAAAAGTTAAATAGATTACTTATACTATCAATTGAAAATGAATTATAAGAAGAATTCAATTATAAAAAATTATTACGTAATAACTTTGCATGTCAAAAAAGTTAAAAAAAAGTAAACTTCAAATAAAACTATATAGGAAATTATTACTCCCCCGTTTCAATTTATGTAAATTTATTTCCTTTTTAGTTTGTGCAAAAAAAAATGACTCATTTCCTTATTTGGCAACAATTTTTTTTTATGCAATGATTTATAGTCACACAAAATATATGTGCCTCATTTTACACCACAAGTTCAAAAATCTTCTCTTTTTTCTTAAACATCGTATCCAGTCAAATGAGTTCACATCAATTGAAACGGAAGGAGTATTTTTTAAAAAAAGAAAAACTTTTCCTCCCATCAAGATTTGGCTTTAGGCCAACAAGATTAGGCCGTCCATAGGAATGTTTTACCCCACAATGTGAAATTTTTTGTGAATCTGAATTGAATCGAGCCTTAATGCAAATATCAAATACGCAGTGAAAACACAAAAGAAGAAAAGCTACATGGTATTTGGCATCTGATAATACTTTTATCATAGTTAAACAATTAATAAAATTGCTTTGAGTTGCAAATTAAATATCTCTTTAAACTGTACGATATCATTTAATTTGACCGCCAAAGCTAAATTAGGTCGACATACTCCACCCTTGGATGCGTTACGAACGTTACATAAAGATACAGAATAAAAGAAAATATATCATTTCCTACTTGGCGCAAGAACATCGCATTTGATGCATTGGCTTGTCATGGATAACAGACCAAACAGAACTTTAGTAAATTAAGTCGAACTTTACAAAGACTGATACATGTGATGCTTTTATTGGTTTGAACAAACAAGGCGTGCATGTGTGTCTAGATTATTTCATTCAATAAGTTATCGTATTCGAGTGCCAAAACAAGAAGATAACAAATCGATTTCAACAAGTACTAAAATGACCTAGTTGATCATAGTCTTGATGTTTGAATCGATCAATTTCGGGTAGCCGTTACGAGACGATTCTTTGCAAAACATGTCGTCAATCTAACTGTCATTCGCTGAAGCATCCTCCAGATCTTAATCAAAAAATGTTGAACATGTCGAAGCACATGGGCTGCACACACTTTTCTTCAAATCATATACTTCTTCTCTTAGCATAAGAAAACAAAGGAATATAACCAAGAATTCTTAAATAAATAAAAAACGTTCCTGGAAGCTAAAGTAGTTGCACTGATAGGACAATACATTTAATGAATTTAGGCGTGGCATATGTAAATATTAATTGGGCAAGTATGCTTGAGCCAACCATAGACAGAAAGCGAACCACAGCGCCCCCAACAAGACATTTACTCGGCAGGTAAAACTTTACACCAAAAAAGAGGTAAAAATAACAGTCTAGCCAGTTTTCGGACTGGTCGCCAGCGTTTACCAAGTCAATGAAAAATAGTCACTATTTTGCTGCAACAGAGACCGGTCCAACATAATATACTAGAGTTCGGTGCACCTGTATATGAACTTCCAGCATATTATGCTAGAACTCCAACACACGGAAAGTTCCAACATAATATACTGGAGATTCGAGCACTTGTGTATGAACTTCCAGCATATTATACTGGACCGGTATACTTTGCTGGAACTCCAGCATAATATATTGGCGTATTTTTCGAGTTTTGAACAGTGTTTTCGCTCAGATTTATCTTTACATGAAAAGTGACTAAATTTCGATTACTTTTGAAACTGGACTATTTTTGAACGACCACTTGTAAATCTAGTTATTTTTTAATTTCTCCCAAAAAAGAGAGGTTGCAATGCAGGAGACAGAAGATTACTTGTCTGCGGAAATCAGAAGCATCAAATGAATTCCTTATCTTCTCGTATAGCAATTCAGGTTCTATACACTGATAATGAAAAGGTTTTATACATTGATAGTAAAAGATTACATTTATATAATGTGCAGAGTTTCCAGCATTTGCATTGATGGAAGAAATATTTAGGTTCTGGTCAATTAATCAAAGTCGCAAGCTGACTTGGACATTGAAAAGATATTTATTTAATAAAATAAGGTCTAACAAAATTAAAGGGCAAAAGATTCCACCAGAAGAAACAAGTAGTGAAGCACAAAATGCAAAACTTGTGAAGCATTACTTGCTTTTGACATTTGATCTATATATCCCCAGAAGAAATGTGACAACAAAAATCATAGGATAAGGACAAGTTGCAATAGTAAAAAGAATACTGTAGAGAACACCAGTAAAATATACTAGATGATAAGATAAAATAAGGTGAGAAGAGAAGAGGAGCTTGCAGTATGTGCCCCTATAAATCATTTAAGAAAGAAATGAAAACTTTTGGAACTTGTGGTCTAAACAAAGCATTAATATTTGTGTGACTATAAATCAATTAAGGGTAAAGTAGGAATTCTAAAGATAAATTGTTTCTAAACAAGGAAAGGTGACATAATTTTTTAGGCCGACTGAAAAAGAAAAGAGTATGACATAAATTGGGGAGAAGGAGTATTATTTTATTTACAACTTCTGCAGAAGATTTGACGGTTTACCTATTTCAACAAGATAAAGCTTGTGCATAAATACATGTTACTGCTACTTCATCCAGTCATCGTAAATCAAATATCTCTAATCGTAGACATGAATTAATATAGACACTGGAGCAATCCTCGTACAGAGGACTCCCATCAACTGGTTCTTTATGAAGATGAAATCCCTTCTCAGGGCAGTCCTTGAGGATTTTCATTCCACCATCAGATAGCCGGAATATTCCATATGCCCTAACACATTGCACTTGAAGATAAGCTTAACTGTTTGATCCATAATAACTATGTCAGAGATCAGCAACTTTGTGGCTATCTATGTGTTTCAAATTATTGTTAACTGTTTCTAATAATTACATGGCATATCAGTACCTTTCACAAGGACTATTACATTTCAACTCCATACAAAAAGTGGCTTAATGGTGCAAACAGTCAAAAAAATGCAGCAAATGCCCCTTATTTTTCTTTTCCCTAAAGTAATGAATTCCCATAATTTATCTAAGAATTATGACCTGCATGTGTAGATTCTTATTTAGAAGTTCCCTGTTAAAGTATTTTGCAATTAATAAATGGTCTAATGAGAAATGAGGTTAATCTAGTAGGCAGTACTCATAGATCCTAAGTGCTTTCGTAGAATCTTCAAGGTGTTGTTTGGTAGGGTGCAGAAGAATAGTAATGACTAGAGTGTATTAGTAATGCTGGGATTACACTGAGATGAGTTATGCTTTTTTATCCACTGTTTGGTTTGGTATTAAAAATAACATGCATTGCATAATTTGTTTTAAAAATTGTTTGTTTACAAAATACCCTCCGACGCGAAAGATTTTGAAAGGGTAGTTTTGTCTTTATACATGCCTATCCATGTATTAAAAACTATGGTATTGCTAATGCCATGGTTTGCTATGTATAAGAATACTACTGAATAGGGTGTATAACTAATATAGGAATTAGTTATACATAAGTTGAAAAATACTACTCCCTCCATTCCAATTTATGTGAACCTGTTTGACTGGGCACGTAATTTAAGAAAAAATGAGGACTTTTAAAATTTGTGATCCTAAACAAGTCAAAAAGGGCCCTAGAGTATGTTTGTGGTTATAAAAACTTCTTATTAGGGGTAGAATTATAAGTTTAAGCTAAATCGTTTCCAAATTTAGAAAGGGGTCATTCTTTTTTGAACGGACCAAAAAGGAAATAGGTTCACATAAACTAGAACGGAGGGAGTACCAAACAAGGGATTAATAATACCAAAATTAATAGATATATTATTTTCCCTAATACATCCCACCAACCTAAAATCTGATAAGAGTGACTCATTTAGCCATACAGACGACAGAGGAATTCTCATGAATAACATAGTTTTCTACCAATATGGATATGACTTAAAGCACTTATACAGCTATGCACCAAAATTGAAGGAAAAGAAGCATCTCAAACATGACAAATACTCTTATACTAAATATGCAAATATAAACTGAGGAAAGAATATAGAAATGACCTTGATTTATCGATAGGAGCCATGACAATTCCAATAGCCTCTGGTACCATGACCTAAATCGATCAGAAAGTGAGAAAATACAGAGAGAAAAAAACATGCAGATAAATGAAGAATCAGAACGACAACGTGTATTGAAGCACAATAATTTCAGATAAGTTTAATGGAAAACATAGGGAAGTAATGAAGTGAATGCAATATGTTAAACATGGTTTGATAAGAAAATAATGCTTTAGCCGATACCATTTGCATAATCATTGGATGATCTAACACAAGAAATGGCCTTCTGATAAGTTCAATTCCAAATGGATATAGGTATAAATAAATTTGAAGTTAATTACTATACTTACAAATTGAAGTTCGTACAAGTTTAACTATTAAGCTGACAGATGGACAGCAAAAAATGGAAACAAGAATGAAGGATTAGACTACTTATATCATTTAAATTTTCTATTCTACATTATGCTCCCTCGATTTCAATTTATGTGGCTTGATTCGGAGTACGAGAGTCAAAGTTCTTAATTTTCACCATGAAATTAGACAGATTTTTCAAGTCTTTAATAAAATTTACATATTAGGAAACTACATACAAAGTACTATAAGTCATAATAATTTATATTTCGAAATACTTATAAAATACTCAAGAAACCCATGGTCAAGATGAACCTCGTAGACTCCCTAAATAGTAATGTAGACACATAAATTGAAACAGAGGGAGTAGTTCATAACAGGGATTAATGACACCCTACCTTGCATTTATTCGACAGTAGTGTTTCACAAGTAACTAAGTGCACAACCAAAAGCTCATTTGAAAAGCAAAGTTTCTTGATCTCTCAGTTTAAAAAAGCGCAGCACAAACATGTGAAATCCAAAAGATTCAGATTTCAATTTCTATGGTCCTGTACTAGCCAAAAACCAAAGTTACCATTCCTCCTAAATCCCGTTTTGCAAACAGTTTTGGTTTCCCTACCTTTTTCTTCGGTCTTTCCGAGAATGGTGGAAGAATGCTGATTTCAGTTTCAGAAAAATGCAGTTTTAATTAGAAATGAGAGCATGTAAGCTAGAAAAAGGAGTGTTTCCTTAGTCTATATATATATATATATATAATTCTGGGAATAGTAGAGCTGATGTGGCATCCTCTATAGTTGAGGATTGCTATTTATCTTTTTTCCTGTTTTTTTTGCTTTATTTGCAATTTATTTTCGTTTCAGTTTTCTATTATAATTTAAAACACGGTTTGTTCTCTTAATCCAACAGTTGCAATAATTAATAAAGAAATGGTGCAAAATTGAAAAGACGCCTTAGTAATGAAACGTTACGCCAGTATCTATAACTGATCGACTATTAATCAATGTATTAAAGTTTCTCAATTGGCTTTCTAGACCACTACATATGCATTGCAAATGATAATGTGTGTTTTAAAACATTTTTCGATTAGTAGCAAGATTTTGCTAATGCCTCATTAAAGAGTATACCACTCTTCCAGAAAAGAGATGTTTGGAAAGAGGAGAAACCACAACGTTCAAGATTACGAGAAAGGCAGTTTCTTTTACTTCAAATCCTTGGAGATTAAATTACAGCAGGGTTTAGAAAATTTGAATTTGAAGATTTTGTTCATCTACTACAGGTGCTAATTTTTTTCCTTTAAACTTTCTTATTGAACTATTGGTAGATTCTTGATCTTTTTTATGGCACATGCATGTTGTTGTGAGAAATTGTTTTTCTTTTTAAAAAAGGGTTCATTGAATTTATAGAAAAAGGGTATTGGACATTTTGAAATGGTTAAAAGATTTATATAATAAATAAAGAAGAATATTTTGAAATTTTACAGAAAAAAATAGGAAGAAGAGAATATAAGAAATTATCTGGTTGATTAAATGGTACTGATGGAAAGGAAGAGAGGAAAAAATAAAAAAAAATAAAAATAAAAATGGTAAGAAGATTTATATAATAAGAGAAAGAAGAGATATAGAGATGATTGGTTGATTTAATGTAGGAAATAAGACGGAACATGCTAATTGATTCTGTTATTTGATGGCTTTCGTTGATCGCAGAGTTAATTATTTTTCTTTTTTTGACTTCTTTCTATTTATTTTTTCCTATAAAGTATATGATTTTTTTATAGTAGATACTTTCCAATTTCTCTTTATCTTCGTATTCGTACTTAGTAAACACATTTCTGTTTTTCTCTTTAATTTGTTTTTTGTCAATTTTTTCATTCTTTTTTATTTGAAAAGCCCCAAGAGTCATTCTTTTGAACTTCTTATATATCTTGTATATTTAATTTTAGTATTATTGATGTGTTCTAGTGTAAAGTCTATGTATACTATCTTCCACATACCTCACTTATGCAATTACACTTAATTTATTTGTTATTGCCGATGATTATTGATGTGTTAAAATTTTAACTTTATTTCTTCTTCCTCAAGACATTAGCAATATCTTAATCTCCTTTTCTATTTTTTTTCCTTCGCCACTAGCGGTTCTTTTTGAAAATTCTCCAGTCGAACTTTATCCATTACATTCATTAATATTATATTCTTCTCAATAGTTTACACTTTTATCACCTCTTCCCGTTTCAATAGTGAACAAATGAACGAAGTTTTCTAGACGGAACACCATAAGGCAATTCGTCAAAGTTGGTGAGGTTTCAATTTTCATGAACCGGAATTCTATGTGCTTTACTTAAACCTTTCCTTCTTTTTCTCAATGTGAATTGAATAATTCTTAACCTTCTTCCTTTTTGTATTTTTCAACAATTTAGCGTATGTATTTTCGAGTACAAGAGAACAATACTAAGGTAAAGTATCAAATACTATGAGGGAGCCAATAATCTAAGCGTGTGTATGTTCAGACTCATCAATACCAGTAGCTTAATACCTAGGCCAAGGATCCTATTTATTTTGTCTCCTTTTTTTGAATATTTTTGCTTCATTCTGTTCATCCAACTTAATTTTTAAAAGCTTAAAAGTCACTTCATAAATCTCTTTATTACACCTCATCCCTAAAGTTCTAGAATTTATCTTTTTCCTCATTTTTCTTGCACTTTTACCCATTCTTTTCATTTAATTATTTTTGACAAATTCCGAATTTCATTACTAACGGGGGAACCGCTACTAGAGAGTCCAAAAGTTACTATTAAATGCCACAACCGTTACTCAAGAGTCCTAAAATATATTGCCAAGTTTTACGTTTTACTTCATCATCCTCCAATTTCTTTACTCATTTGTCATCTCTTCCTCTTTAAATATGAGCTCTTATGCTGACAAAGGTACTTCCACTTGACCGGCCTTCATTGGTTGTAATGTGTTGTTGGTATCATTGACAATTGACAAATATGGACTTTCACAGCAGTTCTATTCCCATCGATGATGAAGAATATTCGACAAGACTCGAGAAAGGATAAGGAAAAAAGAATAATGAAGAAGAAAGCTATCATGACTCTCAAAGGCTCCATGTCGTTTCCAATTCCTGTGGATCTCGCCAACTTCTGCACCCGACATAAAAGTTTGTCTTTTGGATTTGAAATTGTTAGGGGGGAAATGACAGTGTGTAACTGTAAGAAGTTTGAAAATGTTGCGGTATTCAATCTTATAGATAGTAGAAGAAAATATTTGGAATTATTTGTTTAGTGAAAGAAAATTAATAGGCAGAGTGTCTGCATACTAGACCGAATACTTTGATTTAATTGTTTGTTGTGCTCATCTTACTGAGATAATCATTGATATTGGGGCATCCATTCTATGAATAATAGAGGAAAACTTGCGGTTATTTGCTAGCTGAAGAACACTGATTGGTCATTGGTGATATTAAACAGAGATTTTTTATTGTGCAAATAATAAGACCTTCTATAACTTTTATTGCGCTTTACATGACGAAGATTTACATGCAAGACACATACTTCATCATCCCTTTTTATTTGAGCTTGTATTTGGATTACTAACAAAGTTAGATGCATAGATTTGAAGGAAATATATTGAACTTTTTTCCGAAAAGTAGAACCTTTTTATTGGTAAACAATTATATATGTGAAACTCAGATTTATATGATTGCCTAACCAGATTTTCGTTTGTCTAAGATAAAGATCATTTTGAATGCTAGTTATTAACTAGAAGTAGTTGAATCTTACATATCCAACTTTTCGTGTAATGATCCTATAAAAATTAGTCATTTAGCACTTCTAGCTTTTGAGCTTGTAGTTTCCCAAACAAATTTCCCGTACTAGATGTTGTTTCTTCTATTATATTCACAAATTCTTATAATTTATCCTCCTCCAGAATAAACGTTATTTTTTAATTATTGTATGGAATTGGTGAAATGGAGAATGTTAGAGCTAACGGAGGAAGAGAGACATCCAAGTTGGAAATACATTAGTAAGCCACTTTTCTCATTTGATGTGCTTTTAGCTTGTTGTCTTTTGGTAACCAACTTGACAAGGATACACTTTGTTGTATGATTACTTGAGTTATTATATTTCTATTAAAGCAGAAGATTTAATTACTATTTGATTAGAATACTGGTTTTTGGTACTTTCTAAACTATATTAGAGATGCCTCATAAACTTTCTTTCAGCGTACATGCATGTTCATATATACATCTATTCAATCACCATCAAATCAAGATGTACTTTAATACATGCTGAAATGTACTTATCTTCATGGAATACATAACTTCCAAAGAACAAAACTTAGCATATATTTTGGTTTTTGAGACCTTCATGTTGTTTAATTTTACTAATATAGTTAATTTTGCATGACAAAGCTATCATGGAGGATAAAGCAAACCACAAAATAGATGAATTCTCATGGAGTTCTCTTCAGGAAACTAGGCACATTTTGTGCTTTTTAGCATGTTAGTTCTACATCGTGTGTTTCTATCGTAAAATTTCATTTCTTTGCTAGAAACAATTATTTTTTACTAAATGTGGGGATTAAATCCTATACCTTTATTTTACTTATCTATGTCAATTTTTATTTTTATTTTTGTATTTTTCATTTTTCTTCCATTAAATTTATGATTTTAGTATTTAATTTGTAAGAGACACTTTCATGACCGGCACACTAGGTATTTATAATTACAGATATACTACTAGGTATTCCCTCATATCTTGTTGCACAAGTTATACCTGTAACTCCATTCTACCAATTGCAATATTGCATAAATAAACAGAAATATTTTGTCCCATTAAGTTTTCAACATTCTAGTTATCTCCAATAATGAAATGCACAAAGGCACAAAGCCATCAGGAGTAAATGTACCTGATACGAATATTGAGTATGCAAATCGATCGATGACATAAAACAGCTCTGAGATGGATGCGTTTGGAGAAAAAAATAAACGGTCACACGTTAAGTTATGCCGAGTTACATGCCCTTTAACAATTTAATTGCTGAAACATGTGAACTAAACAGAGGAAAGCACAAAGAAGGAAGCCAACGGCAAAAAAAGTTGATTTTCAATTATATATTTAAGTGATTATTTAAGGATAACGGAAATATGAATATTAAACTTGACAATCAATTAGATCTAGCCAGTTCATATTTAAGGTGTCCTGTAGACTATTAAAAGTGAAGCTGCTAACAGAGACAAATCATCCTTGTCAAAACATATCACGGTGGATACCTTAACTGGTGGTGCAGAATTGAAGGAAACAATAGCTTTAGCACATGCTCTGGAGATGCTACAATATCGGAGCTCAGGATTGTTTTACATATTTAATTATCTCGATGTTATTCAAGTCACAGAACGTAAAGTCCCATATGAGACAGATTAACAGATCTTTAAACTTTTGAATGCCATTTTGTGGAAGATAAAAGAAACACAAACCAGAATTTGCAGAATGTTTTCCAAGTACAAGTAATGTACAGGTCTGGCTCCAAATGCATTAAATCACTTAAAATTCAGCTCTCTTTCAATTATTTCTGCCTTGATTTAGAATAATAAGCATCGCAATAGGTCTTCTATTGAGAAATTCCATCCAAATAAACAGGAAACACATAAAAGGAAATTGAGAAAGAGAAGAGAATTTACATGAATCCATCCAATTGGAAAGAGGGATTGTTCATGTAGTATGGCAAACATCTCCTCCTCTTGTAGGGCCTGGCACTAGCAGTAACTACAAATAAGTTAGAATCCGTTCTTCTTACCAAATTGGACATGGATCTTCAGATTTTGAATTACTTACAGAATTGGAGGTTGATTCTTGTTTTGGTATTATTAGAGAGGTAATATAAAAGGTTCCATCTTTCTGCATGAATTAAGGGCGAAAATAGCCAAAAGTCAGTTCATTGAGAATTCAGTTTCAATCTGCTGTAACATTCTCTATAACAAAAGGGGAAGAAAAGTCTATCGGAAGGTGCCAGTAAATGGGTACATAATTTTACTATCAAAAAGAAAAAACAAAGGAAGAAAACTTTGAAGGAAGGTGCCATTAAACAGATGCACAGTTGATGCCCCAAAATAAAAAATAAAAAAATTGCAGGCAAATGAACATGGTCCTAGAAGGCATCTCAAAGAGATTCTTATAGAAAATTAGGATAAAAAATACAGCCACCATATGATCTTTGTAGTTTCTACTTCACGAGAAGTTATCACTACAAAATTTGAGGGTGTTTTAGAGATGGAACAATAACTAGTAACACCATTTCATGCCAAGTAGAGCAGATTATGTGGCAACACTCGGATAATCTATCGTAGATTGCCACAAGACAGTAGTTTGATGAAAGGCATGCTTGGCAAACAAGAATACGGAACTCAATCTCCATGGTCTAATGAGTAAATTGTAGCTTCCTCACCACTACTAATTTACTGATTAGACCATTAAAGTACTATGGTTGGCTTGGAGAATGGTCTAATGAGTAAATTGTAGCTTCCTCACCACTACTAATTTACTGATTAGACCATTAAAGTACTATGGTTGGCTTGGAGAATGGTCTTACATCAAAGTACTATGGTTGGCTTGGAGAACGGTCTTACATCAAAGTACTATGGTTGGCTTGGAGAATGGTCTAATGAGTAAATTGTAGCTTCATCACTGCACAACATATACTTTAGATGAAGTCCAGTCAATCAGAAATATCTTGTTTTCCCTTTAAGGTGAAGCAACTCACATGCTTTAGGCAATTTAGCTAGTCTACCAGAACTTCCTTTCCTCTTTTGAATTATATGATGATTACTCTCAGAAAACTTGCCTCAGGGTGCTTTATCTCCTACATAATCTCTATTGTCACTCCCTTTAACTTGTATGGATTAGCATTAGCAATTACAATTACACACTCAACAATCCAACATCATTAGTACTTGAGTACTTCGGAAAAGCAGATGATTTGGAGAAAGTGCATTGGTGATCTGAATATCTAGGAATTGATCAGGTAAATACTCTTGAAGACCTTAACTTCAAAGTTTGAATATTAGTGAAGGAACTAAAGAAGATAAAAGCATTATTTATAATGAAAAAATAATGTGGTGTATTTAAATATGTTAAGACTCAGAAACCAGTTTCTTGCTATAAAGGTAGTTCGCCAATAGCTGTACTTTCAGTTTCAAAAGAAGAGTTAAAAGATGTGTTGTCCCTATAATTTTACCAGAGTTAGAACACAATACGGTTTTATTGAGCACAGTAATGAGCTCATCTGGCTTGGATCCGTAATGGAAGGATGAGATAATCAAGCAAAGATGGAGAAATTCCAGTAATCTTCAGCTCAAGCATCACTACTACTTCGAATGGAGCAAATTTCCATGACACATGCATGAACAGATTTGACACCAAATGCTCTAGAACACGTCTATTAAAATCTACAGGTTTGACACTTTAAAATACATTGCTTAAAATTTTCATAACCAGTCATACAAATGAAAAAATTACGCACAAAAAATTTAGAAGATCTGACATCACCATAGGAGCTAGTCATTGTTCAACAATGTTCTAAAAGTATCATTCTAGAAAGCAAAGTGAATACTAGTGATCTTACAAGGATGGCACCAAGAACTCCACAGGTCTCTATATCCTTCTTAGTGTTGTTGCTGGCAATTTCCAGAAAATTCTCCATCAACCTTGTTGGCTGAGGAAAAAAAAGTGTTACCTTGTCAGGATTTATTATTGTACATGAGCTTGTATGCCCTGCACGGCACCCTGGATTTTTCGTAACACGGGAATGAAAATAGTGAAACGAAGTATTTAGGCTACTGCTGGACAAAGTTACTCAGTTGTATTTCAAAAGGCATAGTTATTGACTACTTACTACATGTACATCTTTGAGAGGTCCAGATGCTGCCAGCACATTGCGAGAATAATTAGAAGGACCGCTTGATGAATCAGTAGTTGAGACACTTGAGATTTCAGCTCCATCAGGCAAAGTGTGTATCAAGGAGATTCCCGGAGAAGGAGCAGTCTGTGAAACTGTATGCACATTAGTCTGGCAACATACTCCACCAGCCATGAACTTCGAGGAATTCAAGCCAGAAGTCACGCGTGCTCAGATTTGCTGACCATTGTAAAAGTTACCTATTAACATTAAATAACAGAAGTAAGCTATGTATAATCTATTAGCAGATCAATATAGAAAGCAAGCCATAGAAAAAGTGTAACCCAGATAAGGTTTCCACAACATTTAGGATTGGACTTTTCACTCTGTTTTTCAAGCAGGTCTCCATTAGTCACCAGAGTAAATATAACCACATATTTAAAAGGATTAACTATAATATAACAAAGACAGCATTCCTTAGTGGCCTCTTGCACAGTCATGTATCCACTCAGCGCATAGATAAAGGTACTTGAACATTGGGCTCATACTTATAGGTAGATAAGGTTTAAAAAATTTGCTCTTTCATCGCACCAATTGAATCATTTTCTCTTTGATTAGTCGAGTACAAGATATAGCGTCCGAGTCTAACAATGAATGTTGCATATTTCTTCCCCTTTTACAATCCAATTAGGGACGGCAATGCAGCGGGGCAGGTTAAGAGGGATGTGGGGGCAGGGCTGATTAGAATGCAAGCGGGGGCAGGGCGGGTTAAAATATTTTTTTAGATAAAATCCAAATGGGTGCAGGTTGGAGATCCAAGATTAATTAGGCCTATCTTACCTAAAGGCTAAAAACAAGGTTTTGCCACCTGCGAGTCTGCATGACTGTGTTTCCCGACGAAGAAGCTTTAAACAGTCTCATCTCTATCCCTTGGTAATACTCTAACTTTCTACTTTGTTCTTTTCTCAAATTTTTACTGAAATTTTCTTGGTTGTCTAATTCAAATCTAGATTTGCTACCCAAATTTATTTTTCATGGTAGATTTTAGGTTCTCTTAGTCTCGGCCTCTTCTTCTACAAAATTCTTTTCAAAAAATAATTTTCAACATTAAGTGAAAGTGAATATATTGAAGAAGGCATGAAAGGTGGGGAAATAATCATTTACTTGGTGAATCTTAAGCTGATTAAATGGATGAATAAAGACTGTTTTTTATGTGATTCATTTATAAGTGTTGCATGTAGTATTGGATGTCATTTTTGTTACAAAATTGATGATTTCGAGATTAAATTTTTGTTCGATCCGTTGGATAGAAGGGGTACCTTTTTCTTCTTTGCAAACTATCAACTTGTCTCTGCTAATAGATAAGTATGTAGTCTCAAGACAAACAAAATTCGATATGTTCATCTTAGTACTTTTCGCATTGAAAGTGGGAGTCAAAGGCCTAAAGCCAATGAAGTTACTCAAACTAGAAAGATGAAATTGACTTCTAGAGCATGGACACATTTTACAGTGGTGATGGTCAGTACTGCAATACTCGTATTAAAACAACTATAAAATGTAGGACAAAAATCCTTGTTAGATCGTATTGCTTAATGTCCCAAAAAGTCAACTTGGAGAGTTAGGATCGTTCGAATAGTGATAATGGTAGCTAACAAAGTTCTCGATCAAGATGTTTCGCATAGAGAACTTGCCAATGCCATCATTTTGCATGAGCATTGTTGCTTATGTGGGGTTTAGAAATTTAATTGCTAGTCCGCATACATTGTTCAAAATAGTTGCAAGAAACATAATCAAGAATGACATTTTGAAGATTTTAACAATCTGAAATAAGAATTTCTAATTTAATGGGAAAAATCACAAGTGGAGTTGCAACAAAAATTGATATGTAAACTTCAGTTAGCAACAAAAAAGAGTTTATTGCTACTACCAAATATTTTATTGATGATTCAAGGAGGCTGGTTTGTATAGTGCATTACATAATTGTTTGTTTAAGTGAAATCTGGTATGGAGAATATCAACTATCAAAATTGATAATTCTAGTACAGATAATGCCATGATGAAAACCTTATTGGATGAGAAGCTTAGTAAAAAAGATTTATTGTTGATAGGTCGATGTTTCATAAGTGTTGGGTTGCGCACATCTAGAATTTGATTATGCTAGAAGGACTAAAGGTTATAGGAGATAGTATTGGCAAAGTGCATAAAAATATCTTGTATTTGATTGGACAATCGGGCAGATTTGAGAAGTTTGAAAACGCCGCAAGTTTGCTAAAAAATTCTTGTGACAGGTTGTTGTATGATTGTCCAACTCATTGAAACTCAATATATCTAATGTTGAGGACATCCATAGAGTACAAAGAGGTATCTAAGAAGTTGAGTCTAACTGACACCAATTATCGATGTTATCCAACGAAAAGGCCATGGAGTGATGCAGAAGATGTTTGTGATAAATTAAAACTTTTACCATATCACTGAACAATTTTCAGGAATTTAGTATTCAACTTTATGTCAATATTTTTCAAAAGTTTGTACAATTAAGCTAGAATTGGAAGCTCGAAAGAAGAGCTTTAATGCTTTGATTAGTGCTATGGAGTCGGAAATGGTGAAACATAAAAATTATTGTGATGACGTACTATTTTGATGGGTACAACGTTATCTTTGATCCAAGGTAGAAGATGAAGTTGGTGGAGCTCTTTCTTCCACAAATGCATAGTGAAGAAGCTTCAATTAAGATCCAAGAAATTCGAACTCACTGCTATGATCTCTTTCAACAGTATAAGAGTAGATTATCTTCCTCAGATGGGTCATCGAAGCATATGGTTCTAGTGAAGTAACTAATCTTATTGAGAGTGATGGACGGTCAAACTTTGATAGATTTGTCGTTTTGAGTAGTACTTACGTAAAGAGAAGATCGGAGTTAGATTTGTATTTAGAAGAAAGCATGTTGTCTCGAACTATAACATTTGATAATTTAAGTTGGTGGACGACAAACATATTGAAACTTCTTACTTTACAGAAGTTTGCTCGTTACCTCTTAGCCATTCTTGTGTCTACAGTTGCATATTTAGTACTAGTGGAAGGTTGATTAGTTTGCATCACAGTAGGCTTCATCCTACTACTTCGGAAGCTTTGATGTGGGCTCGCATTTGGTTATGAAACGAAATAAACAGTATGTAATTTTTCCAATGACTTTTTACCTTAATAATTTTTAGTTTTTAATACTATTTTGATACATTGAATCATATATTTTTCTTTTCAGAAAAGACTTTGAGGATCGATAAAGCTTCATGTCCAACATTACTTGATGAGGAGGAAGAACTGATTCACGTGGTCTCACCAGTATACTACTTTGAAGAGGAAGAGAATACAATATGTTGATACAGTTTGTTGTCACTCAGTTTGTCTTCCACCAACTTAAGCTATAAAATGATAGAGCTCGAGATAGCAGGTTTTCTTCTAAATGCAAATCCAACTCCGTTCTTATCTCCACGTTAGCCTTACTTGAAGCGACAAATCTATCAAGACCGGACAGTCGATCACCCTCAATAAGGTCAGTGACTTCACTATAACTATGCTTCAAATGACCCCATTGAAGCAAATAATCTACTCTTATACTCTTAAAAGAGATCATAACAGTGGGTTGAACTTATTGAACTTTAGTTAAAGCTTCTTTATCATAAATTTATGGAAGAAAAAATTCCACCAACTTTATCTTATATCTTGGGTCAAAGATAACAGCTACACCATCAAAATACGCACATCATCCTAAGATTCCTTAAATTTCAACATCACTGAAGTCATAACGCTAATCAAAAGATTTAAACTCTTTTCCTGAACTTCCAATTATAGCATATTTACACAAATTTGTGAAACATATTGACTTGAAAGTTAGATACGGAATTCCTAAAAATTATTTAGTGATATGGTAAGAAAAGTCTCAACTTATCACAAACATCTATCACTCCATTGTCTTTGCGTTGAATAACATTGATAACTAGTGTCAATTAGACTCAATTTCTTAAATAACTCTTTATACTCTAGTGTTGTCCTCAATATTAGATTTATTGAGTTTCAACGAGTAGGTCAATCATACAATAACTTTTTGTTATAATATCTGTGTAGCAAATGTGTGGCTTCTTCAATCTCTCAATCTCATCTTGAAACTCCATACTTATCTATAAGCAGAAACAAGTTTAAAGTTTACAGAGAAGGAAAAAGTACTTCTACTGTCCTACAAATAGAACGAAAATACAATCTTAAAATCATCAATTTTATAACAGAAACTGGCACCCAGTACTACAAGCAACATTCTTAAAGGCATCAGATCATTACAAAATGGTCTTCATTCATCCACTATATTAGATTCTTAAAACTCAACAAGCAAATAATTTTTCCCCACCTTTCATGCCTTAAATTCTTCAATAACTTCACTTTCACTGATTCTTGAAAATTATATTTTGAAAAATATTTTGTAAAAGAAGAGACCCTAATCAAGAAAATCTAAAATCTACCATGAGAAGCAAATTTGAGTAACAAAGCTAAGTTTGAATCAAACAACCAAGAAAGTTTTAGTAAAAACGGATAAAAGAAGCAAAAGGTAGAGAGTTAAGAGTATTACCGGAGATGAGAGAATGAGACTTTAAAGCTTCTTCTTAAGAGCTTCTTCGTCGAGAGAGTTGGGAAATGCAGTCATGCAGACTTGCAATCGCAGGTGGGAAAACTTTGTTTTTAGCCTTTTAGGTTTTAGTTCAAAAGATAGGTCTAATAGACTTGGATCTCCAACATACGCTCGCGCGTGAACTTTTATGTTAATATTTTAATCACTCTGGCCCATTCCGTCCTGTCCTCCCCCCCCCCCCCCCCCCCCCTGCCATCCCTATTTACCATTGCTTGGAGGGAACTTCACTTGATCCAGAGGAACATGAAACCAATCTGCTTTTATAATTGACCAGTATTGATTTCAACAGAATGGGATAACTCTTTAAAATAGCTAAAGCAAAGGGTACTCTCCAAAGTTTTATGATAACCCATCAGTTCATAAATGAAAATTTAGATTGGCAATTATATTTATAAATATAATAGAAAAGCAAAAAAAAATGACAAAGTGAAATAAATAAAAGGAATATTTGGCGGGGCGGGTGGATTGAAAACATGAAAATATGCTATGCGGGGCAAGATGGGCGGATTGAAATTATTGCGAGAAGCCCAACACGCCCAGACTACTGCCATCCCTAATTCCAATCATAATAGTCCACCTTTTCTTTTCTAACTTTTTTTTTCTTCACATTCGGATCACCTACTATGATGATCCAACGGAAGGTGGAATACATTGATAGCAAACTCATCATCATTATTACTCTCAGTTCTGCAAATCAACTGGAAATACACGAAATTTCATTTTTAATTCCTGATTATCAGTACTATCTCTGAGTTACTATTACTCCAAATACAAAGGCTTTTCAAGAGTTATAGCTGATAACCTACTTAACACAGTCCAATAGAAGAACAGCTAAATAATCTTGGGCATGGAAAATTATTTCGTTATTCAGCAAACTGAAAACAGTAGTATAAAATAACTTGACCAAATAAAACACAACAAAATAAAGAATGGAAGAGAAGAACCTGATAAGCAAGTTGAAGGTGAATTCTCCTTTATTTTTGTGTATTTTATGCTTTCTCGCTTCTTTTCATCTTAGCATCGCCGAAAGACATGAAAAAGAAAAAGAAAAAGATCGTCAAGTCAGCCCGACCCAAATATATGTACCGTTTAGAGTTACTAGTGCCGAAGGTGTTTAGTCGGGAAATAAGTTATTCCAAAATTAATTATTTCGAAATTAGTTATTCGGAAATAAAAATAATACTATATTTTTGGGATAACTAATTTCGAGATTCATTATAATGCAATTTTGTCTCAACCAAATATGGAATAAACTCATCTCAAATTTAATTTAAAGATTAATTATCTCTTGTTTCGCGTATCAAACGAGCCCTTAGTGTACAAGCATTGGGAATGTTCCTTATAATAGTAAAGATGCTTTTAAAAATAAAATATATATTATTAAAAGATTGCAAGTTCTAAAATGATAACTGTGTTAATCATATTTAGGGGTTTGATCCACTCTAATAGTTCTTCCTTCAATATGTTTTAGTATTTTCTTCATTATATAAAAGCGTCATAGGAGTAGCGTTAGATTAAAATGTTAAAACATTATCGTTCAACTTTTAAAGTAATTTTGTATGATAGTGGAGCCATAATTTTCATTAAAATAAGTCAAAATATAAACAAATAAATCTAAAACCAAGAGGTGTCAATATATAGTGTATATAAATACATAATAAAAATTACCTAGCTATACAATATTATTTTTTGACGAAGATGCATCGGTTGACACCCTTTGAGTACATATAACTCTGCTACGGTTTCTATACGCATGTTGCATGTGTATTAATTTCATATTAATTATTATAATTTAAATTATTTTACCCACATCTTACTTATATTTTATAAAAATGCTAAACCTTATTTGAAACTTTCACACTTTTGCTACCAAAAAAAAAAAATTACATCATAGTTCACTTGGGCCATACAGCCCATTCGAAAATAGCTCATATTTGAAGCTCTTACCTGGCTTAGCCTAGATTGTATATGTTATGAAATTTAGTTTTCACCCGGTAGCCCACAATTTAAAACAACGGTTTTAATATTTTAAATTTCAATTTCTCTATTTCTCTTCCTCACGCTTTCTCAGAGCCGACGATAACCGACCTCCATTGTTGGGATCAAGTACTTTTTCGAGCTTTCAATCTTATTTTCAGGTAATTTTCGTTTCATTTTATGCTTTTACCATAGTTTTGGTTTTGAATTTTGTTTTATTTTTAGTTTTTTTTTTTTTTTTGCTTTTCTAATTATGCCTATTTTCTTACAATGTTGTTGTGTTTTTCGTTTGATTTTGTGTTCCTTCTATCTCAGTTCTAGGCTTAAACTTAATGTTTTCAGTTTGCATGCTTTGTTATTTCGAATTTTATGGTAGATTTTTTTATTTTTTGAGTTTTGTTACAATTTGGGAAAAGAATTTTTTATTTTTTGAGTTTTGTTACAATTTGGGAAAATTGGCCTTTGTTTTGCGTTCATGGCCTTTATTTTTGGTTCACTTTTGAGTTTTGTTACATTTTGATTTTTGTGTTTTCCTTCAGTTGTCTTCACTTTTGTTAAAGCTTTGTTTGTTTGGTTTATTGTAGACAATGCGTTCAAAAATTCCTGCTTCTAAAAGCAAAATGAAGGTTGCTGGAAAAGGCGTTAAGTTCGATTATGCGAAACGATTGAGGGACTTGCCCTCAAGCCCTGATTCTGAAGCTAATGTAAATGTCCAGGCGCCAGATGATAATGATTTTGAGTCTCATGCTCCTCCTAAAAACTCGCAACAAGAGAGTAGTAGAATGACTCGTTCGCAAACGAGGAATTCTCCCACTCCAGTTAAATCATCGAGGGACTTGCCCTCAACCCCTGCTTCTGAAGCGAATATGCATGTCCAGGCTCCCGATGATGATGATTTTGAGTCTCCTGCTCCTACAAAAAAGTTGCAACAAGAGAGCAATCGAATGACTCGTTCGCAAACAAGTAATACTCCTACTCTGGTTAACATCGTTAGAATAAGGAGTAAGAAAAGTAGGAGACCTGAAAAATTAAAGGAAAGCTGAAAGTTGATTTGGTTAATGAAGATGATGTAGGCCCCAATGTTAAACCGAAAAGGAGAAAGATCAAGGACGATGGTGAGAGTGGTCTTGATTGCATATCGAAAGAACAAAGGTTTGCTATTCGCTGCAAATTGAATGAGAGAAAAGCTAAGTTGAAGGTATCCCTGTGTTGCTATTAAATTATACATGCTTATACAATTTTATATAAAGTTATACAGGTGTTTATACATCTTTATACAAGTACTACTACACTTATTTATACATTTTTATAAAACTTTTTAGTATAGTTTTTGTTCCTGATCTATTTCTTGTTAATTTTTCCATATGCAAGGTTGAGGACTTCTATATACAACCAACTGATCATTTCCACAACAGGATTAGTTCCCATACTGAAACTGATATTGTGAGCATTTTGAAGCAATGTTTGACTGACACGCAGCTTCAAATGTTTCGTGCTAGTTCTTTTGGGTACTTCTTGGACCTCCCTCAATTTAAAATTCAAAATCAACTTATTCATTGTATATTATTGAGAGAAGTCATCCCAGGACGGGAAATGGAGTTGTGGGTGAAAATTAATGGTTGTTTGCTGCATTTTGGCATTGGAGAGTTTGTTGTTATCACTGGTTTGAAGTGTGTAGAAGACGACACCACTTTCTATGACAAACCAAATGTTAATAGATTGCTAAAAGAGTACTTTCCAGGAGATGGAAAAAGGCTATAACGAGGGGGCAGCTTCTTGATCGCTTCAAGAAAAAGGACTGGAAGTCGAACGAAGATGCGTTCAAGATGGCCTTGATGGTGTTTGTCCATCATTTCATATTCTCAGATGCCAATAATCATGGTATCAACAAAGATGATTTTGATATCATTGAAAGTGGTCAATATCAGACGTATGCTTGGGGAAAAAAGTTATTTGAAGATGTTTTAAGGACAATGAGGGACAGACAATGTGACTATTTGACAATGTATAGGCTTGGAGGTTTGCCACTTGCATTACAAATATGATTTTTTGAGTGTTGCTCTATGGTTGACAAGCATCTATCTGTTCACGTTGGAATAAATGTGCCACGCATTCTTAATTGGAAAGTGACTGAAACTCCAATATATACGGATTTGACTGGCGGGGTGATCATGTGTAGTATCGACAAGGTAACCATTTTGTACCATAATACTTCTTCATATATGATTTCAGTTTTTCTGTATGTATATTTATGAATATGTCACAATTTCCTTTTTCTACTATTGTAATCCAGTTTTTCTTCTTGTAGTTGAACTATAGGAACATTTCCCCTACTCATAAAGAGATGTCAACTCTGAACATCGACACGCTTTTTGAAGTTAATACCGATGATGTTGCATCAGGGGAGGTGCATGTGGTGCCTGCCTTTCACACTAATGATTTTGTCACTGCATCTCCACCTTGTCCTCAGAATATGGAGCAACAGTCTAAATGACATTATCCTCAGAATACGGAACAACAGTCTAAACGACCTTTTCCTCAGAATATGGATCGACAGCCTAACCCGAGTTATGATCCTTTGGTGCGCATTGATCTGTTGAATGCTGAAGTTGAGAAGTTGAGGAGTGCTGTTGGAAAGGTACTGGACCTTTAGCTTTTCTGTAGTTTATCAGTACTTTTTGTATATACATGGTTTTTTTGTTATAAACATGGTTGTTGATTTGCTTTTCTTTTTTTGTAGTTGACTGATACAGTGATGACACTCAGCAATTATGTAGTTTCTTCCTTTGAAAAAGTGTTCAGTTTTTTGAATATGAAGGAAAACAAGCAAAAGAGGGAGGATGTTACTTATTCTAAGGTAATTGTTTACTGATAAACCAAATCACTCAACAGTTATACATTCTCTGAATCATCACTCAACATGCCTTCTCTTTCTATTATTTTTTATTAGATTCCTCAGCGCATGTCTGATGATAATACATCTGGTCTCGGCGAATTTGATGGCTATTAATATGATGTTGTTGTTGACTTTGTCAATCAAGTGAATCAAGATAACGTGCTAGTTGACGAGGGAGTTACTGATGGTGTTGATCATGGTATTTGTTCTACATTTTATCTTTTTTTGTCTGATTTTTCTTTTCTTCATTTTTAAAGTTTTTTATTATTTATTTTCTCT